CTGATACCCACTATCTTTAATGGACTATTGCCAATCGAAGTAATCATTTCAATATTCAAATTAGCGTCCTGCGTTCATCACCTGCATATATTGTAGTTTTTTCCGCACAGTGTTCTCCCTATCGAATGGAAAACCGGATAAAATACAACATACAGAACTTAAACCACCAATCGTCCATTCACGCTTTTAATAACAACATATGAAATAAAGAAAAAATGAATGCAACCAGATGTCAGTTTCACGCCAATGCCCCATCGGTAAGGCGATTTACACGGCCAGATTACCAGCCTGTTGGGTTAAATCGTGCATTGGCATTTTGCCGTTTTTCAAGCAACTGATTTAACATCGACTGAATTCTTATATTCTCAAGTTCTCTCTGTACGTCTTCGTTCGTACTTCGTTTTTTCCGCTTCCATCCAGTGGGGTTTAGCTTAAGCGGCCCTCTTTTCGTTTGAATGTTTGTTTGATGGTGTTGGTCTTTATCGGATAAAAGTTTAATACAATATAACAGCTGATGCATGCCGGTTGACGTCAAGGACAGACACTGCTGCAGTAGGCCCGAGGGCTGCGATACTAGTCCGGCCCGGAATAGATCCCAGTCTCCCTCCGACGGGTTAGTTGTGTATTCATACCGGTCACTCACGACAACATTCGTCCCTTCGTTGGCGAGCGTCTGCATCATGACGTCACCCAGACTAAGCGAATTTGACTGATCTGTGCTAGGTGTTACGTCAGCGTCATATCCGTTCCGCTCTCCACTGACTTTGAGAGTGTATGAACCACGGCTGAATGGCGGGAAGGCGAGGCATGTCTCTACCAGAAGAGCGATAAGGGCTAGGGATCGTATCATATCTACAACACACAAAAGAGTACAGCAATCAGTATCAAATATAGTAATATCATTAACACACGTACATGTCTCAGTCTCAGAAAGTCTGGAAGCTTGTCTGACAGATATCAGTATCTGGATGAACGCCAACATGCTTAAACGTAATCAGGAAAAGACGGAACTAATCGTCTTTTCCCCAAAGTGCCAGCAAACAATGGCACTCCAGCTCAAGGTCGGTGCCAGAACTATTGAGACTGTTCCAGCTGTTAAAAACCTAGGGGTATACTTTGATAGTTCACTGAACATGGAGAAACAAGTGAACGCTATTGCCAAATCCTGTTACTACCAGATCAGGAACGTCGGCTGTATTCGGCAGTTTTTAACTGCAGATGCATGCAAGATTTTGGTGCATTCACTTGTTACCTCTAGGTTGGATTATCTGACAAACTAACTAGTCGTCTGCAGAGGGTCCAGACCACTGCAGCACGGCTAGTTACTCGTACTCGAAAGAGAGAGCACATCACACCTGTGCTCTATTCGTTGCACTGGTTACCTGTACGATACAGGTCGCAGTACAAAATTCTGGTGTACACATACAAGGCACTGAATGGAACAGCTTCTCAGTACATACAGGAGCTTGTTACCCTGTATCAGCCGTCACGATCACTGCGGTCGGAGTCAGAATCTTTGATGTTTGTCCCAAAATCTCGTACTGTGAACTACGGAAACATATGCTTTGGAAGGGTTTCGGCTACGTTGTGGAATAGCTTACCATCTGCAATTAGAAAGTCCAATACCCTGCCAAAGTTTAAGAGGGACATCAAAACTCACCTCTTCACGTCTGCATTTTAGAATCTTTGCAAAGACGTTACGTAAATACCACCCTTTTATTTGTTCAATTATGCGCACATTGCTTGCTTAAATGTATAAAAAGTGATTGCAAGCCTTTGTTATTTTTTCCGTTTTCACAATTATAACCATTACTATTATCCATATGTTGTAAAGCGCTTTAGAGTAATTTTACAAATCATAAAGGGCGCTAGATAAATGTTGTATATTATTATTATTATTATTATTATTATTACGTAACTACAAAACAGTACATCAATCAGTATCAAATAGGCCTAGAGCAATATCAATAAAATATGTAGAACTATCAATTTGATCGGTTCTTATCTGCGAAACGTCCCAGCATTCAGGATCAAATATAGTATATTAGCTGCAAACAGTAGAACGGCCGGGATGAGAAATCGGTCAATATCTACAGCACATAACATAACAACCAACGACCTAGATATCGTTAATTATCAACAAAAACTACAGTAAGTAGAACTATCAGAATTAAAGATAAACACATTTTACAACCCGCCAAACACGAGAGCAAACAGGACCGTACCTAACCTATTACACAAAACAGGAGAAGCGGTCGTGTTCATTCCATATCAACAACACACAACGGTATTGTATGCTGTCATGACACGTTGCGTTGTTCGTAGTGTTGGATTGTTGAACACACTCGGTGTACTATTGGTTTTCCCTGGTCCAATACATCGTATTCCTACTTTACAAAGAACACTTTCAAAAGGTGCCTCATTTTTATTTTGTTTTTTGTTTTTTTGTTTGACGATCATTGCAATGATATTGTTGATTGTGTTACTCGCACTATTCTACATGTTGTGCTGATGTTATGAAGATAGTAAAACAACACGTCAACCGATCTTTATAACAAAGCTTTCGATAGGGCGGTAAAACAATGGCCGGCAATATAAGTATCTGATAAATGTATACCGTAACCCACAAAGCAGATATATCATTAGTTATTTCAGCTCGGGAATCGAAATAAAACACAAAGATTCATTAACAACGTGTGCGCGTGATAAAGACTCGATCCCGGTCACACAGATTGCCTGGGGACTGGGGGTCCGCCGGGGGTGTGGCTTTGTGCCGGGCCTCTTACAACAGGCGTCATACTGTCGCCGTATCGTTTACTGTAGTTGTACTTGTGAGTTGGGGATTGATCGGAGCGTCACAGAACTCGCAGATCACTACTTATATAGGTATCTATTATCCTGTTGTAGTAGGTTGAAAACAACTCTTTGTATGAGAGATCGGATTAGGACGATTGATGGAACGCCACGCGGTACCATAACAATTATAGTAAGACTATCCTCTGGTTTTATATAAGCTATTTACTCGGACAGGCTTATAACGTCAACTGTTCTAGTCCGGTCATCCTCCCATTATGTACCTGCTACGTGTACTCATGGCACAGACTCATACAGCCCATTGTCATTGCTTTATGCATGATTCTGCATCAGCTAAAAAGGTTAGAGAGATTATGTCAACAACATTTTAATCATTTTCCTTCAAACATCCGCTCGTAATTGCACAGACTTACAAACACCATTGTTATTCTGAACATTTGAAGATTTGTTTTTAGAAAACGGTTTTCAGTGGTACACTTTTTTAACATTTATCTGGAAATGTATACTTTAGAATTTGGAAATTGTTGATTAGTGAACATGGAAATAAAAATGGCAAGACTAACAAGGTTCAATGTTAGAGTGACAGGAGAATTCAACACAATAATTTCCCCTAGGGGGATCCTTCTTTTCTCCTTTTTTCCTTTTTTCCTCTATCCTGCTCTTTGTTTTTGACATTGTCTGTAATAATCCGCTTTCATATGACCTCGGCTGTTCCAACTAAGCTCCCCCGTACAAATCCCCTTGATCTATAGGTGATGGTTACGATTACACTAACCTTACAGTTGAACGTTTCTTATGTAAAATGGGAAACTATTCCCCGGTTAATTCAGGTTCCACCGTAAAAACCGTTTGAAAATGTACAAATGTAATATAGTGTAGTTTGTTTACAGGGCCGACAGGACGATAAATCCCTTTTAACATCTCCTTAAGGTAACTGTCATTATTTCGACACAATGACACTATTTTCCTAGCTAAAAGATATTATAAAACAAATTATTTACCAAAATGAGGAATAAATGCACAAACTTAACGCCAAAAACGTAAGCTGTATGTCACTAGCATCGTCGAAAACACCAAATGAAAGGCCATTGGCGTAACTTTATGGGTTTTTTATCGTTCACCAATCAAAACGTCGATTAGAATTCAACGAGGACACATTTAAAGGTATGCGCGTGCTCTCGTCGAGACATGTCCTATATCACCGATATCCTCCATGGTACAAAAACATCTCACTAATGACCATACCATCTTTGAAACGTTACCGTAGCGACAATTTCGTTCCATTAAAGACTTTATATTGTATTTGTACTTATAGATCCAACGAAATGCATGTTTTACTCTTCTTTAGATAATTTACAACTTAGCTGAGGCTAAAAAAAAAAAAAAATCACACTAACGAATTTTTACAACAGATTTTATCAATGCGTTACGTTTACAAATTCAAAATCAAATTGTACTTTAATAATGTAAATCCTGTAATACTACACTGATCATCAGTTAATTAATGTTACACTAAGGCATCATTCGTACATCACATGCTTTAATAACAAACAAATCAGATATAGTTCGTCGATTTCAATAATAATAACGTAAATAAGGTATTTGAGACAGTCTCAAGACAACACGTTTCATATTTCACTATTTTTGGTAATTTGCATTATATGTACAGGATTTTTTTTTTAAAAAAATTAATTAAACTTAAAGCACTTATCATGGCATGGAACAGAAGATCACTTACTCCTATAGGTAGAATCCATCTGATAAAATCTTTAATGATATCACAATTTAACCATTTATTTATTGCATTGCCAAATCCTGATGATCTTTTTTTGAATCAATTAAATAATATTCTCTTTAACTTTTTATGGAACAGTAAAACTGATAAAATAAGGAGAGATGTGATATTTCAAAATTATTTTGAAGGGGGTCTTAAAATGGTTAATATAAGGTCATTCATTGATTCCTTAAAATTAGGGTGGATACGGAGATTATATCAGAAGTCGGGCAAGTGGCAAGTTATCTTAGAAACACATCTTGACTTACATATGCTATCTCATTGTGGAAGTGATTACATTTCAATATGTCTTAATAAGTGCACAAATTATTTTTGGAAAGATGTCTTTAAAGCATGGAGAAGGTTTAATGAAAAGGAGCGGGTGAAACAAATTAATGAAAGTTGCATCTGGAAAATGCCATTATGGTACAATAGGAATTTTACTATTGG